TTTTTTTTTCGCAGAAGATATGGGCGGTAGTGCATTTTGAGCCAATATGTCAATCGTGTTATTAAAAAGGAGAAATTCCGCGATTTTTGAGAAAAAATTTTTTTGTTTGTTCAAACTGAACAAATATTTGATCATGTCAGAGAAACTTGCCACATGGCGATGATTAATAATTGCCAACTAAATAGATGAACAAGCTTCATTTGAATAAGGCATAACCATTTTGAATCCCAAAACTATGAAGTCTTTTTGCACAAATAACAATGTAGTATTGAAATCAAGCAAATCGCACGAAATGGGCTGAGCCCATGCTGAGCCCATATTTACAAGTTTTCAGGTTGGTAAGGCACCAAAAAACACTTTTAATGTTTATGCAGCAGATTTTAAATTCAACCTTATTACTTTATATAGTTTGGGCAAATAATACTTTTTCATGGTTATTCACCTAGTACCATTCATAACTAAGGAGCTAATTTCTAGGTTACTCCCGTGAAATTATTGCTGGATCAGTGGCCGGCTTTATAGGACTCACTATCATTGTCTGCATTTGCGTATGTTGTGATCAACTCCGTAAAAGACGCCGTGTGCGAAAGATGATGCGTGAACGACGTGCTGTTGCAAATGGCAAAACGCAACGAGCACTTCGGACCGATGTCTATTTGAATCATGATGCTGGCTTGGATAGTAGCGATCGCGTTTCGCGATCATTCGATCAAATTGATCGAATGCCGCGATATTCGCGTAGCGATGTTGACGCTCTGCCTTCAATGCGTTTCAATCGCGGACTTCCACCGCGTCCGCCTCGATGACAATTAGAGAGCGAACTTTGACTGCGATTTTTTAGTGATGTAATTGAATTAAATTCTCTAGGACGAATTCTCACCAAAGAATCTTGTCGATTTAATTTGTGTGGTTGCACAAGGTATGCTTACCTAAACCCAACTGAGTAAAAAAAGCTCGAAGCTCAAATCAAACCCATGTATTCAATTCAGAGATGTATTCATGTATTCAGAGACTACCGTACACATGGTGTGATTGCGAAAACAGTGTTTCCTTCAAAAAAAAAAGAATGTCAAATTGACCGTAGGCAGCTGGATGTGTGTAAAATGCGATATAACATAGAAAATCCGTTTTTTTT